GAACTTGGGGTTTGTTGCAATGGGTGTGGCAGCAGGAGACTTGTTTGGAACTGTCAGCCACAGCTCAGAGCAGGCCCGAAAGAGAAGCTCAAAAGAGGCACCCAAAATGAATGCCCAAAAGAGGAGGGGAGTTCCCGTTACAATACAATAAATCTTTTTCTGTGCTGCATATTCTAATTTTCACTAAACAATATAATACAAGATACAAATCTTATAGCATTTACAAACAGCCTATTAGAATCATTAGATTACCATACTGTGTTACATTTTAAACCATAAAAACTACTCTTTGGACATCTTCTGCCAAACTAGTAGGGTCTGCTCTGACCTTTGGACCTGTCTGCAAGCAGGAGATATTGTTTCATCAAAAGAAGATTACCTTCAGCCGGCCATACTATTGTTTTCCATTTGTTCAGTAACTAAGGCTTGGTATCTCAAAGCTTGCTTTCATTTCAATCTCGCTTATAGTTTCCATATTCTCAAATTCTTTTGCCAGGCAATCATATTTATAAGGCTTTCCTGTTTCCTCTTCCCCAGCATCTGCTTCTTTTCATTTTCACTACCCTTGCCCTGAAGTTGGGGAACCAGAATGGTTTGTCACAGCCAACCTCATTGAGACTCTTGGCACCCGAACCTTGAGACCCTGATATTCAGTCATGTCAGCTGAGGTAAGCTGATGGATAGGCCAGCGCTCCCCGGGATTTTTGATTGCACTGGGCCCGAAGATTCATCATTGCTTTGAGGGACCTTGGCCAGGATCCACAGGGACAACGACGGTCTCACCTGCGTAGGATTGCAGGTGGGTTTGGGGAAATGCAGGACAATTATCACCCATTTTGCCACTGTGTTTTTACAATATGCATCCACATCCCATAATTGATTTGAAGTGTTCCAGTGGCTGTTCCACCTGAGGCGGAGAAAGAGAAAAACGGACAGCCGGATTCCCAAAGTAGAAAGGAGCAACAGGGATGCTTTAAGTTAATTCTCATGGATCATGCCCAAATATATTCAAAGAACAACTTAAAATCAATCGTGAAGTGGATTATTAAAATTTTTCCAGATGCCCTTGAGCCTGACCATCCTCCCTCCATCTTGGCTCCTCCACTTCCTGCTACCACAACCTTCTCTTCTGCCCTGAATGAACCTCCAGACTCCACCCCCAGAACTGTGGGTCATGCCTCACTGTCAATCATGAAACCTCCACCCTGGGCCATGCCTCCAGAAGGCCAGCCTGGAAGTCTGCTATCCTAGATCAAGGCCCTTCCTCCCCAACACCTGACAAAATGGCAGTGCCCTTTGCCTCTGCCTCCAGCAACAACATAACCGCAGGATCAAAGATACTAAGCCCCACTGTCACACTTATTCTAATCTGAATGTTTCTGCTCTGAGTTAATCTTCCTCCCCAGAGGACAGTTTGCACTCTTCAGAGCCACCTCACCCCTCAACCCCAGAAGATCCCTGGGAAAAGAAGAAGACTGGCAAATAGTCTCGAAATTCCTCATTGCCCTGGTATGTTATGAAAGTAGGGGGCAGAATCCCAGGTATCAGCCATTGGTTTACAAGGAAATCAAGGATCTGTGTAGGGCAGTTAAAGACCATAGAAAAGACTTACCTTGTTTTAATGGACAAATGAGGGCCATGTTTACAGCACATCTTAACTCCCTATGATTTAAAATATATTATGATATGACCATGTTCTTGTCACCTACAGAATACACCCAGTGGGAAGGGAGACGGAAGTGTTTACTAAATCAATTAATAGCAGACTATGCTAATAATGAGGCAAGAGTAGAATTGACAATCAACCATCTAGCTGGAGAAGGACAACACAGCCTACCAGATGATCAAGCAGCAAGTATCCTCGGAGAAGTATTGGATGATATCAAAGAGATGGCTTTGCAAGCTTTAATCCAGGTATTGAATGGTAGCATCCCCAGTGTGGACTACCTTGGGTAGCTGCAGCTAAAGCTTTAGGACAATTAGACCATCTTGGGTGCCTGTTAAGTAAGCAAACCAATGCTACCTCCCTCACATTGAGTGGCCTGCTCTCAGACATAGAGACCATCAGACATGCCACTTTGCAGAACAGTGATAAAGTTTTTACTCTGGGCACATGGGCATGGCTGTGTAGACTCTGAGGGCATGTGTTGCATGAACCTCTCCAGCAACAGTGAGTCAATCCACAAGAGCATTCAGGCACTGAAGAAAGGGTTCAAGAAGCTTCAAGTGGAAAACAAAGACTCGTTCAATAACCTCTTCCAATGCAAGGGACTAAAGGGTTGGATGATGTCTAGCTAAAACAGGACATTTAACTCTCTTAGTGGTTGTTCCTGTATTGTTAATTTTCCCATCTTTGTTTGGATGCTTTTTGAAAGTCTTAAAAAATTCTTTCAGTTGCATCTTTGTTGTAAAACAGAAAAGGGGAAGATGATACCCAACACAGGCTCCTCATGGACTCCTTAGAGGAGAGAATTGGAGGCCAGGAAGGCAAAAAAACTTCTTAGAGACTCAGTGTGGGAAGGAAAATCCTTAAAAGTACCTAAAAGTATTCCTAAATCCATAAAGTACCTTAAAAAGCTTGAGTATCTCAAGGCATTAATGAGCCCCACTGAGTGTCACTACAAAGCTCTCAAGGGACTTGTTAAAGCAGATAATTGGGGCTGTGATTGCACAAACCTCTCACAGAGTCTGTATCAAAAGGGAAGCACCAAGTACCTTAAAATAACTGAAGTAACTTGAAGCATTAATGAGCCTCACTGAGTGTTGCTACTGACAAAGCCTCTCCAGGAACTAATTAAAACAGATAATTGGAGGTCTAGGATTGCACAAAGCTCTCAGAGACTCCAAGGCAAAAGCCAAACCCAAAGTCCTTTCAAAAATCTGCAGTCCCTGGGAGCATTAAGGAGCCCCCAGGGCCATTGCTGAGCAAGGCTCCCCAGGGACTCCTTCCAGCAGATCCTTGAGGCCACTGGGATGTGGGCTAGGGGGGGATGCTGAGGGCAGGACAAGGGGCTGACAGTGCCCAGCCTGGCTGGGGCTGCGCCAGGAGGCCCCAGTGCCTCAGGACAAGGTGTCTCCTCACAGCCCTTGGTGGCACAGACTCTGCTGTGCCCCAGGGCACCAAGACTTGGCTCCTCTTTGTCCCCACCTGTCATCACTTCCTCCAGTTTTCTGCTCTGCCTGGGGCCTGAGGACACTTTGTCAGTCGTTAACCTCAGTGGGACCCATTAAATATCCAAGAAAATTTGGAGTTGGATTCTGACTTGGAGTTCTGGAGAGGTTTCTTCAGCTCCCTCTCAGGGACTGATGTTCAGGGTGTCAGCACAAAGCCCCAGAGGCTCATTAAAGTCCTTGTGCTGTGTCGGTGCTGCTGAGCTGGGCTGGGCTCCTGGCACAGAGGCAGCTCCTGGTAACCAAGAAGAGTTTCAAAAGCACATTTCTCTTGATGAGCAGCTCTTCTGCCAGCCCAGCAGGGCCGGGGCACTGCCTGCAGCCACCCTGAGCACAGCACAGAGGCACAGAGAGCTTCAATCAGTCAGGGCTGGGAAGGTGCTGAGAAGTGCCTGGGGCAGAATCACTGCCAGCCCTTGGCACAGGAACCTCTGGCTGCAGGACAATGCAGCTGCAGCTCCTGGAGCCATCTCCTAAAGCTGGAACATCCCAATGCCTGCAGACTCTGTGAGTACAACTCTGGGTATTTCTGGTGCAGGGGAGGTGAAATGCTTGTGAAGGTCTAAAATGCTGAGGGGTTCTGATCAGTCATAGAATATTTCCAAGACAAAGATTTTGACAAAAATAAGGATATTTCCTAATACTTTGTACTCAGTTTCCTACTAGTGGAGAATCGCAGGAAGGAGAGATAAATATTAAAGGTTGATTATGAATTTTGACAAATTCCTGAGACATCTAAATGGTTACTTTTAGTGATCAATAAGTTCACAGAGATTTGGGGTCTGTGAGTGCTGGCAAGGAGTGATCAGGCACAGGGAAACACCTGCAGGAGGGAAATCTGCAGGAAGCAGAGAGAAGATCAGGCAAGGAGAGAAAACAAATCCCTGCAATGCTGTGGCAGGGAGAGTTTAGAGATATCCACAGGATCCCCTCCAGTGCAGCCCCTCCCTCTGAACAAGCCCCCTCCCTCCTGTGCCCCCAGCCAAGCCTCTGCCCTCAGGGCTGGGGCTTCAAGGCGTGCAGCCCCTCCTGTGCAGGCAGAGCTTCAGCAGAGCCATGGGGCAGCTCTGCAGCCCCGGGCCCAGTTCCCTCTGCAGAGCACAGGGCTGGGAGCAGCTGCCCTGCACTGGGGGCTCTGGCAGGGGGCACAGCTGGCTCAGGGTGACGCTGTCCCCAATGCCCAGCTCTAGGCAATGCTATCAGTGCAGCCAGGGAAGGAGCTGCATCTTCCTCCATCCAATGCCATCATAAGGACACTTGGGAGTCTCCCTGAGATTTCAGTCCAAGCTGGGATCTTCAATCCAGGGTGAAAACCTGTCCTAGAGCATCTCTGAGTTATGAGATTGATGGGGAAAGGCAGAGGTGTTGTGACACAGAAAATGCTGCTGGGTTGGTGAAATGAGCAAAGTGAGTCCTTGGCTACAAATGTGGAGCTGGGCTGTGGTGGATGCATCTGCTCCCAGGAGTAGGTGGGGGCATTTTAAGGGAAGCATAAGAAACTGGTCACCTTCCACCTGAGAAAGTTTAAAGCCCAAAGAAACTCTGAACAGGTCAGAATGACAGACCATCTCTCCTCAGTCTGCATTCATCATCTTGACCCAGGGAACTCACTCTGTTCTCCCTGAGGGCCTCAGACATGCTTATGGTTTGATATCCAAAACTACCAGCAGAGACATGGGGGGAGCTTATAAAGAAAACCTCAGAACTCTTAAACATTAAAGACCATGTCTTTGTGTTACAGAGGAGAATGTATGGGAAATGGCCTTGATTTTGTTTACAGGTACCTCCCCTAAGTCTTTACTGTCCTTTCTCCATGAACAGGTCCCCAGGTGCAGCCCCAGCAAATGTCCAACAGCAGCTCCATCAGGCACTTCCTCCTGCTGGCATTGGCAGACACGCGGCAGCTGCAGCTCCTGCACTTCTGCCTCTTGCTGGGCATCTCCCTGGCTGCCCTCCTGGGCAACGGCCTCATCATCAGCGCCGTAGCCTGCAGCCACCACCTGCACACGCCCATGTTCTTCTTCCTGCTCAACCTGGCCCTCAGCGACCTGGGCTTCATCTGCACCACTGTCCCCAAAGCCATGCACAATTCCCTCTGGGACACCAGAACCATCTCCTACACTGGATGTGCTGCTCAGCTCTTTTTCTTTCTGTTCTTCATTGGAGCAGAGTTTTATCTGCTGACCATCATGTGCTATGACCGCTACGTGTCCATCTGCAAACCCCTGCACTACGGGACCCTCCTGAGCAGCAGAGCTTGTGCCCACATGGCAGCAGCTGCCTGGGCCAGTGCCTTTCTCAATGCTCTGGTGCACACAGCCAATACATTTTCCCTTCCCCTATGCCATGGCAATGCCCTGGGCCAGTTCTTCTGTGAAATCCCACAGATCCTCAAGCTCTCTTGCTCACAGTCCAACCTCAGGGAACTCGGGCTAATTGCTGTTAGTGTGTGTTTGGTATTTGGCTGTTTTGTGTTCATAGTTTTCTCCTATGTGCAGATCTTCAGAGCTGTACTGAGGATCCGCTCTGAGCAGGGACGGCACAAAGCCTTTTCCACCTGCCTCCCTCACCTGGGTGTGCTATCCGTGTTTATCAGCACAGCCACATTTGCCTATTTGAAGCCTCTCAACATTTCCTCCCCATCCCTGGATCTGGCCCTGTCAGTTCTGTACTCAGTGGTGCCTCCAGCCCTGAACCCCCTCATCTACAGCCTGAGGAACCAGGAGCTCAAGGCTGCAGTGTGGAGACTGATGACTGGATGGTTTCAGAAATATTAAACTGCTGGGCAATATCTGCAAATAACTTGTAATCAACGTCATCTTTGCTACTTCTTTTTGGCTTAACTGTGGAGGTTCTTTTCCTTTGTTTTATGTTTAAATATAGTCCAGAAAAAATGCCATTGTTTCTGCCATTTTCATTTTTTTTTTCTCTCCAACTTGCCTGTGGCCACAGACTGTGTCAATGAGGGGCTGCACTCTGGGTGACTTTAAAGGAAATAAAGGACTTCCCAGTAGAGTTTTCTGCAGAGATGCCTTTTGTTGCCTTCTCTGGAGCTGCAGCAGCAATGTCTGTGTGCAGAGCTGGGGGCAGATCACTGCTGGCCCAGCAGCTGTGCCGAGCCGCAGCGGCAGCACTTGGTGTTGCCAGTGCTGCTGCCGTGGCCCTGCCCTGCTGCCCTGGTGGCCCTGGTGTTGCTGTAGGGCCTGAGTGCTCTCGGGACCGGGCACAGTCCTGGGGGTTGCAGTGCCAGGGCTGCAGCAGGGACAGGCCATGGGCACTGCTGGGGCAGCGCTGACGCCTCAGGCGAGGCCCTGGGGGCTCCAGGCTCCTTGCCCAGGCTCTCTCAAGAACATGGCCAGGCCAATGCTCAGCACAGAAAACCCCCGTGAGCAGCCCCAGGCTGGCTGCGGGCAGGCTGGGGGCAAACAGCATGGCTGGGGCTCTGCAAGGGCCCTGGGGCAGACGGGAAGCAGCAGCAGAGCAGGGGCTGATCCATCCCCAGTGTGCTGCACAGCCCAGGGCAGCGTCCCAGAGTGTCCTGATGGAGCTGCCAACAACATCCCCCCTCTGCAGCCCTGGCCTCTCCCCCAGCTCACACAGGTGCCCCATCCTTGCAGGCACACACACAGCAGCACTGGCTCAGCAGCCCCTGTTTGCATTGCACACAGCAGGGGGAGCACCCCCATGCTGTTGGTGTGGGGACATGAACCTGAGGGAGCACAAATGCCATCAGCCCCTGGGGCCAGCAAGGGCTGGGGGACACCAGGGAAATCACTCAGCTTTGTCCTGGCCTCTGCAGTCAGCCAGAAAGTTTGTTCCCATCAGCTGGGGGTTTCCTGTCCCACTGCAGATGCTGTTGCTCAGAGCCAGGGCTGCGTGGCAGCCACCCCTAAACAGCCCTGATCATTTCCTCTGCTTCACCTTTGATTTCTCTCCTCTTTCTTGTTCCAGATTTCTTCCTCCTGCCCAGCACTGTTCTCTCCCCTTCAAACAGCCCATCCCTGTATGCCCTTTCCTCTCTGGCCCCACTCCCCATTGCAGTTCCTGATTTGGCACCATGGGAATGTCCCTTGGGGAGCAGGATCATCCTACAAGTGCTGCAGGAATTGTCTGCAGGCTCCTGCAGTGCCTGGTGCTGCTCCCTTGCCAGAGGCACCCCAGGCCAGGGGGGCACATCTGGGCTGCTGTGTCTGGCTCTGGGGCTCCCTGTTCTGGGCAGTGAGGAGGAGCTGCAGAGGCTCTGCAGGACTGACAGGATGGGCTTTGGGGCTGGCAGGAGAAGCTGAGGGACCTGGGCTGCTGGAGCTTCTGAAGAGGACGCCCAGTGCTCCTCCTGCAACTGCTCCAAGGGTGGTTCCAGACAGTCAGAGAATCAGCCAGGGTGGAAAAGACCTTGGAGATCATCAAGTCCAACCTGTGCCCTGACACCGCCTTGTCTTCCTGAGCCTCCTCTTCTCCAGGAAAAATAACCCCAGCTCTCTCAGCCTCTCCTCACAGCTCTTGTGCTCCAGACCCCTCCCCAGCCTTGTTGCCCTTCTCTGGACACGCTCCAGCCCCTCCTTGTCCTTCCTAAATTGGGGGCCCAGAACTGGACACAGCACTCGAGGTGTGGCCTCACCAGTGCTGAATGCAGGGGAGCAATCCCTGCCCTGCTCCTGCTGGCCACACCATTCCTGATCCAGCCAGGAGCCATTGGCCTTCTTGTCCACCTGGGCACACTGCTGGCCCATGTCCAGCCTGCTGTCCATCAGTCCCCGCAGGTCCCTTTCTGCCTGGCTGCTGTCCAGCCACTCTGTCCCTAGCCTGTAGCACTGCAGGGGTTGTTGTGGCCAAAGTGCAGGACCCGGCACTTGGACTTATTAAACTTCATCTTATTGGACTCTACCCATCCATCCAACTGTTCCCGGTCTCTCTGCAGAGCCCCCCTACCTTCCAGCAGATGGACACACACTCCCAGCTTAGTTTTGTCTGCAGATTTACTACTGAAAGACTCAACACCCTCATCCATGTTGTCAGTAACAATATTGAACAGGACTGGCTCCAGCAGAGACCCCTGAGGGATACCACTGGTGACTGGCTGCCAGCTGGATGCAGCAGCGTTTGCCACCACTCTCAGGTGTACCATTCACCACCACTCAACTGGCCATCCAGCCAGTTGTAGATGTTTAGTTGATGCCCCTCGTTCTTTCAGAGAATATTAAAAAACTTAATAATTTCGTGGTCTGTAGTGGTGTTCACAGGGGTCCCAGAAGAGGGACGAGAGAAGGATCTGACTCCATGTTTCAGAAGACTAATTTAATATTTTATGATAGATATTATATTAAAACTATACAAAAAGAATAGAAGAAAGGATTTCATCAGAAGGCTTGCAAGCAAAGGAGAAAGAATGGCATGATAACAAAATCCTGTGTGTGACCACGGAGAGACACAGCTGGACTGTGATTGGCCATTAATTAGAAACAACGACATGAGGCCAATCCCAGATCCACCTGTTGCATTCCAGAGCAGCAGATAATCATTGTTTATATTTTGTTCCTGAGGCCTCAGCTTCTCAGGAGAAAAATCCTAGCAAAGGGATTTTTCAGAAAATATCATGGCTACAATGGTCGCTGTGCCCAACAAACAGACTCTGACCACTGCATCTCACTCCAGCCCTTCTCTGTTTGTGACCAGAAGGAGACAGAGCTTTCCTTGGCAGTGGGAATTGCAGGAAACCTCCCCAAAGTGCAGCTTGGAAGATTCAGCCTGGAGCTGAGGAGAAAGCAAAGTCCCTCGTAGGGCAGAATGTTGGTGCTGGAGGTGTGGCAGTGTGAGGCTGGGCCATGGCTGGGCTCTGTGTGCCAGGAGCCGGCAGCGCTGGGTGCAGGGAGCCCAGGGAGGGCACAGAAACACTGGGTGAGAAATGCTGGGGCACAGCGAGATGGGCGAGTGCAGCCGGCCAGGGCAGAGGAGCAGCACGCCCAGGGGGCACAACCTGCAGGACAGATGGCCAAGGGCTGGGCAGGGCTGGCAGGGCCACAGGCACCCAGGCCTTTGTGCCCTGGGCTCAGGCAGTGCCTCTGGAGGCCCCACAGGAGGAACTTTCCTGTCAGGGACTGCACTTTGCTTCTCCCTCGGCCTCCCTGGGGAGTTTGGCAGGGGCTGCAGGTTGATGCCATTTGTCCTTGCTGCCCCTCAGCTCCCCCTGGCCCACCAAGAGCCCCAAGGCAACCGTGAGGGACAGGCCCTGCAGGCCCAGGCTGGGCTCAGGGCTTGGCCTTTCTGCTTCCTGCAGCCAAGCTAGGCCTTGCTCAGCATTGCAGTTCCCTGCTCAGAGCCTTTAGCTCCCTGCAATCCTGGCCTCAAGTGTCTACACTCAGCAGGCCCTGGGCAGCCTTTGGCACTCCCTGCCCTCACTGGGGCCCAGCCATGCTCCAAGGCACTTGGAGTTTTGCTGCTGACTCCTTGAGCATCCCTCTCAGCGTGCCTGAGGCTCTTGGACCCAGCCCTAAATCCAGCGTGGGGCTGATTAAAATACAGAAAGCCCTCAGGAGCTCTTTGTCCTCCTTCCATTGTCTTCCTGTCTCCAGGGATTCCGCAGTGCTTGGAGTCAGTTTGGAGTTCTCTTCAGGAGGGAGATTCCAGAGTGCACCTCGTAATTTTTGGTTTTAGTCAAGAAATTATTTTTTTACTTTTCATTTCAGAGAAGAGGGGATGGAAGCATTCCCAAGTGATCTTGATGCTGAATGTCTCCTTAGGAGGTCTTGGCAGGGAGAAGAATGAGCCCCTTGCAGGCTGAGCCTGTTTGGACAAGCTGCTCCTCACCCACAGCCTCACCATGTGTGACATGGCCCACCTGAGCCAAAATATAAAACTGTATTAAAAAAAAAATTAAATATTCATTTTTCTCTAAAAATAAAATTTAATTAATTTAAATAGTTATATTTATCTTTTTCTATTTATAAAAATCTTATTCTGGAGTTTTATTACCTAACTTTTATGCTGTTCTTTAAAAACCTATACATTTTTAGCAACCAAAAAGTAGTTGGTCATTGGTTCCGAGCAACATAATTCCCTTCATTAATTAATTAAGTTTTATTGGCTATTTAGTTTTTCCTCTTTATAATAATTAGTAATATTTGCAGTCCTCTTGTAATCTTTTTTTATAATATATTTCTCATACAGGGTAAAAGGGACCACTCTGTCTATGGAGACATTTCTGGGCACATTTGGGGCAGTTCTGGGTCTGGGGAGAGAATTCCGAGAGAGAACTTGAGGGTCTGGAGGACACTTGGGGGAGCCGGGTGGGCACTTGGAGGGGCACTCAGGGATTCTGAGGGACAGTTCGGGGTCCAGGGCAGCACTTGGGGGTCCAGGGGGGCCCTTGGAGGTCAGGGAGGGGAATTTGAGGCCCTTCGGGGTCCAGGTGGGCCCTTGGGGGGCTCGAACGGGGCTCGAACGGGGTGCAGGGGGTGATGGGAGTTTTAGGCGTGGATATCATACTGTTTAACGGGGCCGCGGAGCATCACAGGAGTTCTGGGTGCGGCTGCAATGGCTCTCGGTGGGGCGCGGGGCATGACAGGAGATGAAGTCCCGGTTGGAGTAGTGCTGGGCATGCGCCGCGGAGCATGGTGGGAGCTGTAGTCCCGCAAGTGGCTTGAACATGATGTTTGGGGGTCCGGGAAGGCTCTTGGCGCACACTTTTGCATCCGAGCCGCAACTTGAGATCCTCGGGGAAACTTAAACAGTTCGGGAGCATTTGGGAGGAGCTCAGGGAGCTCTAACCGGGCTCTTTAGGGCATGGGGCACGGCAGGAGTTTTAGGCGCTGGACTGTGTTCTGAGGGGCTCAGGGGCCACAGGGGATG